GGGGGGGCAGGACAAAAAGCCACGGGTGGCCTGCAGCTAGCACTCTGGAACCCTCATTATCACTTGAACCAAAGCAATTTTACTTTTTTCCAAGAGTTTTACTCATCGGCTTTTAGAAAAAGGATTTCTCTGCTTAGTTTGAAAAAAGAAAAGTTTGAAAACCACTGGTCTAAACCATCCTCTTGCTATTAGATGCGTGTTTTTCAAAGTTTTTTTTTTTTTTAATGATAGTCTGTTATACAATAATTAACACTTCCGTGTACATTGTATGTCTGTGTGTGAGAGAGACACTCTGGAATTATTTCTTTTAAAAACATTCCCAGGAGGTCAGAACATTCCCTGAAAGAGCCTGATGTCTCGATGATGTTGCTCATCTATTGAGCAAAGGTGCTGCACAGCGTTGCCAGGCTAGAGGAACCACCGGCTCGACCACGGCTTTCCTAGCATTATGTTTTGCCATTAAAGAGAGGAGGAGCAGCTTAGGTTGTCAGGCCAGGTGGTGGGTGACAGTTCTGATGAGAAGAGCCAACCAAGATTTGCCCCAACCCTCGGTGACCACACCATGTCAGTAGGTCTGTCCCACTCCAGGACCCTTTTGCTGAAGCTGTAAATGTGGATACAATTTAGTTGACGGTGCTAGAAGGGCCCAAACTGAAACCTTCTGGAAGGCCAGGAGTTCAGAGCAGCACGGCTACTGGTGCTGGTGGGGTTGAGCTGCCATTCATTCATAGCCAGTAGAAAACCCTTCTTTGCAGTAGTGATGGTAACAAGAAACTCTGAGTTCCAAAGGAATGTCTGAATCATTTCCTTTCCTTGGTGATTTCTCCAAGCTTCTACTGAAGCCGAATCACTGGGCCCAAGGAAAACAGAATGACAAGTTAATAATGCACCCAGTGCAGCCTAAGTAGACAAAATGCACATTTGGGAGTCTTCCCTTAAGTGCCTCTGTAATGACGAAGCTGGTAAGACTGTGAAGGCAGGTAAGGGATCTAGTGAATTTTCCCTTTTATGAGAAATAAAGCTGACATGTTTTAACTGCCTAGGTGCCAGGTACTTTCACGTAAGTTATAATTTAAACTATCAGCCATTCGTGGGCACCTGCAGTATTCCCCGGGCTTTGCCTGCATTATCCTTAAAGATCCTTACGACTTGTGTGTCCACGTAGGTTCTGTCATGTCCATTTGCTGAGATGAGGAAATCAAGGGTAAGAGGCCTTGAGTGGCCCACCCTACCCAAGGTCATATGGCCTAAAAGTAAATGGTACATTGTAAGTCAGAATACAGGCTCCAGTCTGCCTGACTGTGTCTGTGGCACCTTACTGAGTCAGTCTTTATCCCCTCACCCTGAGAAAACTACAACCCAGTAGAGCTTAGCCTTTTCTGTGTAAATGATTTAACATGCCAGTCATGGCTCAGCAACTCTGGAATCCGACTGGGTCGTTAATATCCCCTCCCAGCTGCTCCCTACAGGCCACGGCCTACACTGGCCATGCATGGCACTCAGTACAGCAACACCGCCCTTCAGGTGTCTCCCATGCTTTCCTCCAGGGAGCCAAAAGCCCTAAACAAAGGAAAAAAGCCCGTGTTCCTGTCTCGGTGTCCCTTGTCAAGGGCCTGCTTTGTGTGTGGTATTGGGGCAAGAGGACCAGTGGTAATCCAAAGAGCCCACAGTCCAGGGCAAAGGGAGGGATGTACAGCAGACACGCGCTTGGTTATCAAATCAGAGTGGATGGGGCCCTGGAGCTGAGGGGCAGCTGACTGGAGCTCTGATCTCAGCAGCTGTCAAGAGGCCTGATGGGAGCCTAGGATTAGTGCAGAGAGGTGCTGCCTTGGAAATCCAGCATCCCATGATCCGGGAGGAGCTCTGTGGCAAAGAGCAATGGGCCCAGGGTGAGGCTGGTAACCATCAATGTTCTCTTGATCCTTGGGGGTGGCACTAAGGGGCATCACATTTTGGATATCTGCTCACAGTGCCTAGAACGTGGAAGAAGACGCTCTCATTTTTAAATTCTCTTTCATTTCAGCTGTTCATGCCAAGAGCCTGGTGGCCATCCTACATCTGCTGGTTGCTCTGTCTCAGTATTTCCGGGCACCCATCCGACTCCCAGACCATGTTTCTATCCAAGTGGTTGTGGTCCAGGTAAGATAGGTACCACAGTAAACATCTGTGCCTCTGAGGAGTGGTGGAGGCTGAGTTCCGTGAGAGGCGGTGAGGAGGACAGCTGAATGAACGCTGAGTGAGCCTGGGCGTGCCGGATGTTGGAAGGCATGTGCGTGAGCTTTCTAACGCACGTTGCTTCCCCCTCGCAGCTGTGCAAAGGATGCAAGAGCACGTGCTTGTGTCCTGCATCGCCCTGTGAGGGCTGCATGCTGTGGTTTATATGTCTTTGCCTGGAGGTTGTCTGTGATGTGTTGTTGAGGGTATATGGTACGTATGTGAGGTGTATGTAGAGGAGTCAGGGGGAGCAATATATGTGTATAGTATCCTGCAAGCCATGGAGAATCACAACTTTGATTAAACAGAATGATGGCCGGGTACTGGGGGAGACAGCTAGAGAGTGTGTATACATGTGAGAGAGACCCCGGCTGGCCATACTGCTACATGTTGAAGGCACTGCCACTTTTTACCCACCCACAGAAGCACAGCTGGGATCTCCAATCATCTTTCCCAGACTGTTGGATGGAATTTCCATTCACATATGGTTGTGTAATTTCCACAATGTGGGTGTGCTCTCTCCCCGTGACTATCTCGCTCTGCTCCTAACCCCATTAAATACTCAAATTCAATTTTATTTTCCAACTTTATACCCATTTAGCAAAAGGTCATCATTTTGTTTGCTTGTTTCTGTTCTTTTCCAAATAAACATGCAACAGGGGAGAACTCTCCATATGAGCAGCTCCCTAGATACCCAGGGTGATCTGGGGTTCTGGAATACAGAATGCTCTAGCAGCCCTGCCATCCCTTGCTGGGGGAAAGCCTGGAGGGCAGGCAAATTGTGCCTGATCAGGCCAGGCCAGTTTCCAAGACAAGATGTGAGTTGAGCTTTCAGGAATCAGATGTTAATAGGCACAGAGGACCAATTGGTCGGTTGTGTCCTAATAAAAAATATTTATTCCACACCTCTGGGTACTTAACTCTGCTAAGCATTGAGAAGGTATAACAGAGTTCTGTGATGCTTTGGCCCTGCCTGCCAGAAGACAAGACCTCAAATAAGCAGCAAAAAGGGCTGTCAGAATCCCACAGACAATGCAGAGGTGTGTTGCACAGACACTGAGGGCCTCTGACTGAAAATGCTGATCATCCTCATGTCTTGGGCTCTTCCTTGTATCAAGCAGGGTCCTGGGCATATTGTGTATGCTATGGCCATGTGGTCAACCAACCACAGCATCCTAGCAACTCCCAGGCCACCTGGAAGATTTAATTTTTTTTCTACTGCATGAAGTATTTATAAATTTTTACATCATCAGTAATCAGAAACATTACATATAGTTATATACACACGTGCACATATATAATTTGTGGTATGATGCTTACTTTTCTGACTGATTTTAAATTTTTTTTTTTTATTGTTGGGGTTTCATTGAGGGTACACAGAACCAGGTTACACTGGTTGCTTTCGTTAGATAAGGACCCTCTTATAATTGTGTCCCGCCCCCAAAAAGTGTCCCACACCCCTTGTCCCCCCACCCCCCTCCTTCCTTTTCTCAGCTCTCCCCATCCCCCAACCCCACCACGTACAGCGTGTAAAATCGATTTGTTTTTAAAACCCACAGTTGGGGAGGAAGAGTTGAACAGGTGGAGCACAGAGGACTTTTCAACATATGTCATTATATGTTTGTCAAAACCCAGAGAGTATACGGCAGCAAGAGTGAACCCTCATGTCAGCTGTGGACTTTGGGTGACAGTGACACGTGTTAGCATCCATTGCAGGTTCATCAGTTGTAGAAAGCGTAGCACTCTGGTGCAGGACAGCGGGTGAGGCTGTGGGCGCAGGAGGTAAATGGGAAGTGTCTGTTACTCCCCTTAGATTGCTATGAACCAAAAACTGCTCTAGAAAATAAAGACTATTTTCCAATAAATCATGGTTCCTGGAGCAGTCCGTGAAAGTACTTTAGCGAGCACACATTACCGACATTGAAACTTTGTTTTTCCCTGAGCAAACATGCTGTCATGATATTCATTTATAGCTCTTTTATTGCTAGTGGAGATAAATACTTTTATGTAAATTGCCCTTTTGTGTCTTCTATGACCGTTCCTTCCAATTCTTTGAGTATTAATTTATTGAAGATCTTAGGATTTTTCTTATCAGCCTGGATAAACAGCCTTCTAACAGAAATAATAAGAGACGTCTGTTGGAACTACTACAGACAAAACACAATAACTGTAATTGAATTGCTGAGCAGGGGAGAGGGGCCTCCTATTTTGGAGCTGTGGTCATCGCAAGCCACATCTTAAGCCCGATTTTGAGCTCAATTATAGGGCATCAGGAGGCTGCTGTTGGTTTAATTTCTCCTGCAGGCCGTATTGTTAGCATAAGGGGGGAAAGAGGACACATCACATAAAATGGCATCGGTGCACGTCAGGTTTTCTGGGGTGTTTTACTTTATCAAGTTGAATGGGCACAGAAGCAGGCCTGAGAATTGGTGGTGAGTCACAGATGAACCAAGGCAAGAACTCTCCAGGGAGCAGGTAATGGACAGAGGTGAATCAGGATGCCGCACGAGGGGCTATTTAACCCAGATTTCATTTCCATTCTGTATAAAAGCATTTAATTCTACACCAAGTTGAAGGTGAGGTTTTATGTCTGTGAATGGCCTCACAAGACAAGGACACAGATTCCATTAGCCACATTTGAAAATGTTACATGTGTCAGGCCTGAATTTGGAAGAAGTCCTAACTTATCTTCACCTGGTCCCCCTTTAAATGGTATCCATTTCTTTTCCTCCTTTACTTCCTTTTTTGCTCCACTATGTCCATTCTTCTTCACCTAATCCAGAGAGACTCTCCTTCCCCAGCTCTGCCTTTCCCTCTGTAAAAATATTGTGCAAGGACGCTAATTTCTGTGGTTATTGGGACTAGGAAGGAACGTTTCTGGAAGTTTTTGCAGGAAGCTCAAGAAAGCAGGTTTCAGCTGACCCACTAGCACTCAAAGGCTCCTTCGTACTATTCGTGGCAAACTTGAGGAAGGTGAATTCACTTGGACAACCATCTGCCATGTGACCAGTCTTCAAAGTGTCTGGTACAAGCTATGTAGGGACGGGAGAGAATGAACCTCCTTCCTCATGCCAATCACAAAGTCTTCCTGAGCCTTCATCCTCCCTCACTGGCTCTGGTGCCACACAATGAGGTTGAAAACCTCCTGACTGGCCCTCAGAGCTGCCCACCGACTAATGGCGATCCCTCCCTTCTGAGCACATTTGTGCTGTCCCATCTCTGCCTTTTGGCTGGGGCCATTGCTCCCACCAGAGTGACCTCTCTCTGGTGTCCTGCCAAATCCCACCTGTCTTTGAAGTGCCACCTCTAGGACCCCTACCCCGCAGAGGGGCTCCCTGACATTCCCAGCTGAAAGCACGTGGTCAGTGCTTCCAGATCTTCTTTCAACCGAAGATCCCAGCCACATTCAGCTCTTCCTCTCAACATAAGACAGCCACATCTCTTAGCAGCCAGCAACACTTTCAAGGTTGAAAGAAGATCCTGTTAATAATTAGGCTGGGACATCGGACATAAACCAGGACCGTTTTAGGGAAACCATTCTCACATGCCTGCCTCATCACCCCCTTGCCATTTGGCTCTAAGTTCAAGAGCAGAAACCACATCATCTGTTCCACAGTGTTGTTCTGACTCCGTCACAGAGCCTTGTACTCAGAAGGCACTGAGTGATAAAACAAGAAAGAGGATGAGTTGATGGGAGATGGGCAGGTAGGCGTATGGATGGATGGATGGACAGATGGATGGATGGATGGACAGACAGACGACTGGATGGGCTTTAACCATCCAGAGTATTTAACCTTTTCTGGGAGAGTAAGCCACTTACCTGAGTGGGGACTGAACTACTTATTTAAAAGCTCCCATAGTTATCAGTTAGAAAAAATCCCTCTGCCACTGTCTGCCTCCAAACTGGCCTCTGTTCCTCCACCCAGCCCCCCGGTTTAATGTGTTTCTCCACTTCCCTCTGTGGCCCCAGCTGGAGGGCAGGCACACCCTGGCCTTCCATTTGGTTTATTGTGGATTACTCCAGGAGGCAAATGGTTGGCTTCCAGCAGAATGTCTTCCAATAAAGAAAAGAAAGATTCACCATCCAAGAAGCAGCCTACTTGTTTGGACTAAACACTAATTGCACTCACATCCTAATGGTACAGTCCAGTCTCAGAAAGTCAAGGCCTGCTTTCACTTCTAGCATTATCTCATCTTGGGTGCATTTAACTCCGGTGACTCTCTCAATGTTAGGAATGCTCATCCATGTTTCTGTATTTTCCTAAAGCATATTTTTCTCTTCTCCTCCCAACCCCTCTCCCCACCCCCATTTCAGAAACGAGAAGGAATCCTCCAGTCTCGGCAAATCCAAGAAGAAATAACTGGTAACACAGAGTATGTCAACACCATTGTTGCCAGCGATTCTGTAATGGAACACAGATGTTTCTCCGAAATTCATCCATTTGCTGATATTTAGTTTTCATTTATTGGGATTGCAGGAGGGATTAGACTTCAGCCAATGATTATAGTTTAGCCTTTTCCATGCATTCAAAACATGACTCTCCATGCTTAAGGTACAAACTTGGGTGGGGAGTGGGGGAGAGGGAATTAGCAATGATTGAAAAATTCTAATTTTGTGGCACTCCAGGAAAAAGTGCACCCAAAAAAGCCAACCAGCATGAAATCGTCATGCCATAAACACTGGGTTGAATTTAAATTGTTAACCTTCAAAAGGACGTTTTTCTTCCATTTCTGAATCTGATTTGGTCATGTGCCATGACCCAGAAAGCCCCTCTCTGCAGGACAGTTGTCTTTTGGTTTTGTTGGCTTTTTCTTTCCATTTACTTTTAGAAACTGGGATATCAAAACCTATCAAAGCCATGCCACAGGGAACGAGAGTTTTGTTCATAAGCAGAAAGAACAGGCTGGCATGGGACAGGTTCGGGATCATCAGCAGGCCTGAGCCGTGACCCCACCTAAGCCTGACCATCAGCTTTCAGCATCCACAGTTGCCCCAACTTTCCTCTGTCCCACTTGGACAAGGGCAGCATAGTGAAAGGAGCAGGGACCCTAAGCCATCCTGACTGAGTTCAAGTCCAGGCTGTTCTGTGTACTTACCAGATCAGTCCCTTAATCTGTCTCACCTCAGCTTCCTCACCTCTGAAGCTGGACCTTTATCTCACCCAGAAAGGTAGTGAGGATTCAGTGTGGCCACAGTTACGCCTTCCTCACTGCTCCTCCTGCCTTTCCCCCTTCTGAGCCTTGTCTAGTTTCTAGCAAATTCTCTCCCTCTCCCCAGTGAGGGATGGTGGGTGTCCAGGGCATCCCTGGTGGGAACACATTTTGCATGTGCCTTAAAAAAGAAGTAGGAATGTGGACATTTCAGGCCAAGGGTAGGACAGAAACATAGAGTGGACCTTCCCAAAATGCCCAGTTTGTGGCCTAGGGACACCACCATCAAGCTGCCTCCATGTCACCCCAGCAGCCAGTCTTACAAGACAAAAAGCCAGCGATCTTCAGGGGACACCAATTTTTGGCCTTGGTTTTCTGAAGGGTAGGAGGAAAAGCTTCCCAGGTAAGGCCTATGAGGACAGGAGCAGCATCCTCACTGCTCTCCCCCCTCCCCGTGCTGGGCTCACCTGCACCCACTATTTCACACTCTGGAAAAGAGGGACCAGAGAGGTGCAAGGCCTGGGAGAAGCTGTCAGATTGGAATATGAAGTTTCAGATTCTAGTACAGTCTTGAGCTGCCTGTTAGGCTCTCTGTGGCCCCCTCTCTCCCCCATCTCTGCCACAAGACACAAACATGGAGCAGCCTCCCAATAACTACAACATGGTACAGTCTGTGAAGCCGTCTTGTATCTATTGATAATAAGCACATGAAGCCGAGATTACAACCCTACAATCCTCCCATCCAAGACCACATCCTTGGTCTATCCAACAGCTCCTTCCAAGTTCATTATCTTTCCAGTACCCAGCAAGTAGTCATTTAGTAGGTGACAGGTGTACAGGCATACTGACATAATGAGAATCATAATGAGAACCAAAACGTGTTGAGGAAAAATCGTCTTAAGCATCTACTATATACTAGGAAATATGCCAACATATCCTCAACTTCAAGGTGAGAGACTTAGAGCCCAGAATAGTTCAGTAGCTTACCCAAGGTCACCCATTTAAAAAAAAAAGCTAAAACCTAAATGATTTCTAATGCTTGTATTCTTAATACTTTGCTGTTTCTCTGCAATAAGTGTGGTTCTGGTTCCTGCTGTCTTTGAGAAGGCCAACCCTGGGTCAGTGGCCAGTGCATCTTGGTGAACAGGACGGACAGGAGAGGGGCAAAGCTGCCCTCCCTAGGCAGTCGTCCACAGCAACCTGGGCAGTGAAATTCCCACTGGGGAGTTACTTCGGCTCCACTCCTAGGATTCTCTGTTTGGGGATCTTCAGCCCCTAAGTCTAATATTCTTTCTTGCCTTCGAGCAATCACATGATTTTATTTAAGGCAAGAAATAGGCCTTTAAGCATCACCATACCAGGCTTTGTGCTATCACCAGTATATCTGTGTAGCAGAGGAAAATAATAGGTGGTGAAGTCTCAATGGTTGGAGACTGCAGAATAAAATGCCAACATCAGGAGGCTTTTTGAGCTCCTCAACCATGGACAGGATGGTGGTAGGCAGGGTAGGGGTGGGCTTCCAGCAGTGACAGAGGGTCCTCAGAGGACTGGCCTCTTATAAAAGACCAAGAAAAGAGTCTCACTGTTTTCTTTCTCCTTTTCCTCCAGGGCTCTATCCGGGAGGCATGGTGAGTTGCATAAGATTGTCCTCTGGCACTGGTGGCTGTGGTGGAGCTCTAGTTAATACTGCAGCAGCTGGGAACGGGCTCTCAGCTTGCTGCCTGGATGTGTGTCTGCCCAGTCTGGTGACACAGCTGGTTGGGTACAGAGGACTGCTTGCTGGCAGGAAAAGATCTGCAAAGTGACCAGGCTTTGACCTGGCCAGGGCTACTGGATGGGTCCTGGGTGTTTATAGGGCACCTGGGCTCTGCGCATGTTGCAGAAGTAAAGAAAGAGAGGGATGAACACAGGGACTGTCCCCTCCCCACTCTGCCCAACCTTTCTAGAGGCCGTCTTCTCCCTCTGCCTCCTCCACAGCTCCCTCATCTCCCATTTCCCAGGACTCTGGGTGTGTGCAGGGTCTGTGAATGTTGGAAGTCACCATCACCTTTCTGGGAGTCTCTCACTTGTCCATTGGGGCGAGAGTGGGAGAAGGCAGGCTCGGGGTCACAAACCTCAGAGCCCCAGGTTCTTCTTGGAGATTTTTCTTCTTCCCTGCTTCAGAGGCCCTCCCTATGTCACCTTCTGGCTCTGAGAGCAGGAGCAAGGAAAATCCCTGCAGGGAGCCTGATTCTGCTGTCTTCTATGATCCTGGTATTTACTGTGGCTAAGATTTTGAAATATTTCAATCATGCTAAAAACAATTCAGAACACTAGAGCACATCGTAGTTTACAGAGTACATGCACACACATTCTACCTTTCATCCTCAGGACAAACCTGGGAGAGGGTCGTCTTTAAGACGACCGAGCTGTGAAGAGCTGTTTGACCGAGATCACTCAGGGGGAAGCGCTCACGTTCTCTCCCGCAGGCCCCGGTTCCCACGGCTCTCCCGTGCGCCCTCTACCAGCATGATTGTCTTGGGTGTTCTGGTTTCGAAAATTAGGGGGTGAAATGGAACTGTCTGACAGAGCCCTGCGCCCTGCCCCAGCCCAAGAAAGGTTGCTGTGTGTACACGTGCATGCGCGCACACACAAGTGAAAGGCCCCAAGGGTAAGAACCAGCCCCAATCCCAGACTCATGTTCCTAGCACAAGCTACGCCCCCAAATCTTCCCACCCATACACCCATAGGGGCCTTTAAATGCTGTGGCCCGGAATGAGCATGCGCTCCACACTCTGTTTTCCTCTTTTTCAGAGCGTGATGCCTTTGACACCTTGTTTGACCACGCCCCAGACAAACTCAACGTGGTGAAAAAGGTGGGAAAGGGGTGCCTGGGAGGGAGGGAAGGAGGAGGGGAAAAGCTCCAGCCCCAGCAGGATGTTGGGGAGACCCACCCCTGTGGCTTGTGAGCTCTCTGCAGACACTAGCTCTCCCCTTGCCATCCGCCCACCCTTCTCACTGGAAGCCTGTCCAGTCCCTTTCTTCTCCTTTCCTCTCCGCCAGGATGAGCACCCTGTCTGCCCACCCACGCTGACCTCAGACTTCCCTGCTGCTCACACAGAGTCCCCTTTGTCTTCTGGCCCAAACCTATACTGAAGGAAGGATGCAGTGGGGTCACTGCATCTCAGGCCCCTTCCTAATTGCCCTCTGGCCCCTGTCCCTGGGCTCAGATGCTCCACCTGTCCTTCTGCCTCTCTGGACTTTCCTGTTCCTTTCACAGTCTTGACTCACATGGGACCACAAGGCCTGGAGCCTGTGACCCTCCATGTGCTCTCAAGGGCCTTTGCAGGGGGGCCTCCTGGGCCCAGCACTCTGGCCGGGACTGGTCCCGTGCTCTCCCCCTGACCAGGCCCCAGGGCAGCACAGGGTCTGGCACTGGTGCTAATGAGTGCCCATCTCAGCGCCCACTGTGCTTCTCTTTCAGACGCTCATCACCTTCGTGAACAAGCACCTGAATAAGCTGAATCTGGAGGTCACAGAACTGGAAACCCAGGTGGGGACAGCCCCCAGCACAGGTGGGGCCGGGGCCCTGCTCGATGGCCGCTGTTCCCAGTACCCCATTCTGACACCACAGCTTTCCTTGCTGAAGGGGATATGAGGGCACCAGGATCTGCTCCTCCTGGAAGGGGTGAACTAGACAGAATTTCTGTCTAGTTTTCCTAACTTATTTGGAAAGTTGTAAAAATGAATGGTCATACACTCTTCACCTAGATGTACCAACTATTAACACCAAGACACATTTTTTCTCTTTCTACCCCTAAATACTTCAGCATACATCTCTTAGAACAAGTACATTGTCTTGGATCTCCACAATCCAAATGTCAAAGGCAGGCACCTATAACATTGCTGTAATACACTAATCTATTCAGATTGAAGCATATGAAATTGCTGACACTTGACTGCCCTTAACCTACTAAAATGGCAATGGCAATGGCAATGTCATAGTCAGAAAAAAATGCTAGATTTTGCCAGTTGTCCCAATATGCTCTCACACGCTGCATTTCATTCTCACATCTCCATAGTCTCCTTGACCTTTCTTGGCCTGACACTGACCTTTTGGAAGCGTGCGAGCCAATGGGTTTATAGAACGTCCCTCCGTTTCCCCCCTCACAGTTAGATTCAGGCTGTGCCTTCCCACTAACAGCCCTCCCTGGGTCAGGCTGTGCTCTTCACAGGCCATCACAGGAGGACACACATCTGTCCGTGAGCGCCATTCCTGGTGATACCGGTGATCACGTGCTTTAGATGGCATCCACTGGATATCCCTGCTATAGAGTTCTTCTCCCTCCCTTCACACTCAACTAACCTCGATCGGGGAGATACTCTGAGACTACCTAATGCATCCTGTTTCCCAATATCCTTTTATTCCTGGAGAGTCTCTGTATCATGGTTTTTTCTGGAGCACGTGGGCACCTCCTGCTATTGTTACTGACAGTCGCCCAGTCTGTCGCTGAGCTCTACCTGAGAGTCTCTGAACTCTGTGGAAGGAGCTTCATATACTCTTCCAGGAAATAAGAAATGTTCTATAAACGTGACGTTTCCTCCAGGGAGCTAGAAAGGGCTCTGGAACACTCACCTCAGTTTTCAGGGGCAGGGTTTCCATAAAAGGGGGTCACTGCTGAGCACATTGGGTGTCCCCACCGAGTTGGCAGAACCAGCCATTTGGGGTGGGAACAGCCTATGTTTTGCACTCAGAGCTGGGGGTAACCCTAACCCTAATCCAAGGTCCCCCGCTGAGCTCACAGATTGAAGTCTTTTACTCCCAACCCATTCCAGCGATGGCCCAGTTGCTTAGCTCCCACCAGGAGGGCCTTGATTTTAACATAAATTCTGGGGTCTGTTCTCCTAAGTCATGGGACGAATTGTGCTCAGGTCCTACCCACCTGGGTTGTAGGCCTGATAGCTGGAAGCAGGAAGGAACTGGCCCTAGAGTGAGCCTGTGCTCAGGTTCTTATGTTTTTATTGAAGGCTGAAGGCCATGCCAAGCAGGCACCTAGCTTTGAAGGCCACGCCAGCCACCAAAGCCATCTGAGAAGACTCTAGACCCAGCCTGCACTTCAAGCAATCAAGTCTAGTCCTTTTAAGCTTCCTCAGATGATTCTAAAAAATTGGGCATCTTAACTCTAGCAACTGTTGTTTACACCCATAACATTTGGTGGCCGGGCTTCTTTTGAATAAGTCCTAGAATGTTGGATGTGCATAGACCCCTTTGTCTTTGCTCAGGCCATCTCCATTCCTGGACACCTGATCTTCCCTAAGTTTGCTCATCCCCCAGATCCCCACTGCTTGCACAACCTGCCCTCAGTGCACACTCAACTCAACCTCCCTTGAGCAAAAGACCTAGAGCCTCTGCACTCAGCCCAGGAGTCTCCTGTCCCCATCTTCCCAACCCATCTGGCCTCTAGGAAGGGACTGGGCTCAAAGCTCTTGCCATGGCCCTCTCTGCCCATAGGTCTGCTTTGCCACTAAAAGCTGGTAAATCATGTTCTGATTACTTGGGGTTTTCCCCAGACTTTAATAACAACAGTTAATATATATTAAGTGCTGCCTACATGCCAGGAAGATTACAGGCACTTTACACATAACAACTGCTTTAGTCCTAACACTAACCACATGAAGTAGATAGTATACTATTATCACCCCCATTTTACAGATGAAAAAAATGAGGTGTAGAGAAGTTATATAACTGGCCCAAATCACACAGCTGCTAAGTGGTAGCACTGCCTGGGAAGCCGGGAGGTCTGACTGCAGAGCCCAGGCCTATAACAGTGCACTCTGCTGCCTCTCGGGGATGATGAGGTGAGACGTGAGGAAGGACGCCAGGCACTGCGTGATGCTGGAGGCCTTGCTCTGCCCAGTAGCCTCATGCCGTCCACCTTGGACCTCCTCTCCCTCTACCCGACACTGGCCAGTTCCTCATCCCGAGCCCAGATGTGATCCAGTTGGTGTCCTCTCTGATGCCCTCACTCAGAGTGGGTGATCTTTCTCAGTCTCACTCAGGCCAGTCTACTTCCCTTCACCAGAGCAGCCGCCCAGTGCCCCCACACTGGTCTCCCACCAGAATTTGGTTCTCCTCAAGAGCAGGAGCCATACTGACCCCACCCTGGTCCCCATGCCCAGGTCAGAAGTTGGTGTACAGTCTATGCCCAATAAATGCTGGATCCACTGACATCAGGTCCATGGGCTTGTGGCTCCTGTGTTAGATCAGCCAGACGTGGAACAGGCCTGCTGCAGAGCAGACCTCCCCACCTCAGGCCACTGCCCCTTACTCCCAAGCAGCAGCCTGCCTGGGGCAGCAGCCCTCAGCAGGGACAGCACCCTGGCTGGGGCTCGGCTGGGAGGGAGCCAATGCCTTCACTGGGCCTCTCCTTCCAGTTTGCAGATGGGGTGTACCTGGTGCTACTCATGGGCCTCCTCGAGGGCTACTTTGTGCCCCTGCACAGCTTCTTCCTGACCCCAGACAGCTTTGAGCAGAAGGTAAGAGAAAGGGACACCAAGGGAAGCCCCTGGCCCACATCCCCTGCCTCATCTGTCCAGACCCCTGCCAGGGTTTTCTGCAGTCGGAGGTTCCCATTCTGATGAGAGCTGAGCTGGGAAAGAGCCATCTGCAGGCCACGGAGCGTCCTGAAAGCCTTTCCCTTCCCCTAGACATGTGCTCCTGCCAGATGCATATTCCTGCCTCGTGTCTCCCCAGATGTAATGGGGAAGGTGACTACTGGAAGGCCACGCTCAGCCTAATTCTAATGGCCTCTCATAGGCTGTCACATCCTGCTCAGCAAACCAGAGCCTTTGGTCTAAAGCAGAAACCCTTCTCCGTGTGATAAACACATCTTTCCATCAGCTCCTCCCAAACACGTGCACTGACATCCCCAATTCTGAAATTCTGGCAGCTGAAACTCTGTAGGACAGGAAGATAATTTGTATCTTCTCCAGGAGAACCTGCCCAGCATCAGGCTAGGTTCGGCAGGCTCACACTGCATGTGGCCTGACCGTTTCTGGAGCTGTGTTTCTCCTTGAAATTAGCTGAGTCCCTACCCTTCCGGCTCCACCGCCAGGCCCCTTCAACTCCCAGTGGCCCCAGGGCCCCAAGTGTCAAGGAATGAATGTGCATGACATATGCCCTGTGTCTCTCTTGCCAGGTCTTAAATGTCTCCTTTGCCTTTGAGCTCATGCAAGACGGAGGGCTGGAAAAGCCAAAGCCACGGCCAGAAGGTACTTTGCTCTTTCCTAGGTTTGTGACAACAGCGTGAGTCCTTCTTGCACGTTATGCTCAAACTTGGTAGCAGAGGGAAGTTTCTTTGCTGAAGCCTCTTTGCCAGGGAGGTAAGACCTGGTGCAGCTGCTCAGGGGAGACCAGGTCCTGGAGGCCCTTTGTGAGCTGGAAACCCCATGGCCGGGGAAAGCAAAATAATGTGAAATCCCACCACAGGGTCATAGGGATCAGGGCCTGACAGGGTGCTGCTGCAGGAACTGCCCTGTGCCTAATTTCCAGGTTCTTCTGTCTGAACTGAGTGCTGACCTGCCAAAGAGCCATGTCCCTGCCAGTGGGGGTGGAGGTGCAGGGCAGACAGCCCCATGCTGAGAACAGTCCCGCCTGCACTGACACAAGCCTCTGCTCCAGAACGCGTCGTCTGGGGGGTTTGGGTTACACATAGAAGACAGGGGGGTGGGGCATGTCGAAGGAACAAAGGCTCCAGCAGCCCTGGCGCACTTGTGCTTGGAGCGAATCTGTGCATCTGCGAGCAGAGGACACGTGCTCCTCTCAGGAGTCTCCTTGTTACAGCCATCCTCTCTCTTCCCTTACCTGCTAAAGTGTTCCGTTTACCAGAGCTGGTACTTCAGCGCTACGTTGCAGATAATTTTCTATGTACAGCACATCAGAACACTGAGAATGCTGTTCACAGCCCTTTACCTTGCACTTTCCTGATTATTTAAAGACAAGGGGACACAAGGATGGTGGCCTCTCATATCCTGTTACTGCCTCTGCTCCAGGCTCTTCTGTCCAGACCTCCACATGGAGAGGACCGTGCTCTGGTCTAGTGGGCCTGAGACCCTGTAGATCATGACATACCAAGGGGGGTAAGACCGCCCCTGACCCCAAGGCAACTGCAGCTGACCAAGGAAAAGAAAAGGTGCACTCAGTCACCAAAACAGAATGACAGTCATGGTAATTGCTACAAAAGAGGAACAACTGGGCTCGGCACCTGTAGCTCCGTGGTTAGGACGCCAGCCACATACACCAAGGCTGGAGGGTTCGAACCTGGCCCGGGACTACTAAACAACAATGACAACCGTAACAAAAAATAGCCAGGCATTGTGGCAGGTGCGTGTAGTCCCAGCTACTTGGGAGGCTGAGACAAGAGAATCACTTGAACTCAGAAGTTTGAGGTTGCTATGACCTATGATGCCACAGCACTCTACTGAGGGGTGACATAATGAGACTCTGTCTCCAACAAAAAAAAAAAAAAAGGAAAGAAGAGGAACAACTAAGAGGCTGTGAGGACTGGGGAGGTGATACCACATCTGAAGAGAGGAAAAGGAGAGGAGTGAGCATCTCGGTCAGAATGACAGTGTGAGCCAAGTCCCTGGGGACCCCATGTCGTGACTTCTTCCTGACTTGATAGCTATCAGCTCTCAACAAAAGTCAACAAAAGTCAATCCCTATTGCTATTGCCTAGTCCTAAGCCCCTGGACCTCTAGGGGAGGACTTTGGCAAGGCCGCTCTAGCCAACCTAAGGCCATTAGGAATGGCCTCTGAGCATCGGATGGCAGGTGACACAGATTCTGCTTCTGGGTAGAGGACGCGGTGGGAGACTCTGGCCATCACCTCTGCTTCCACTTCCTTCAACTGCTTAATATGAAACTTCCTGGGTATAGATTAGAAGGACCTCATCTGACATTTTCCTTTTCAGATATTTATTTCCCTCAGGACAGGTCATTCCCCAACATCCATCTATGGGACGATTTCAGCATATACATATATGATATTTTTAATGTAATTATTAAACTACTAATATGAAACTTCCTGACCAATGTGAATGGAAAAACACAGCTGTTTTATTTGTTGTTACACTGGGCATGATGCCCATGCTGAAAATTTCCAGTGCGTAAAGGAGAACTGAAATGGCATTTTATGAAATTGTACCTTGTGAGAAGTGGGTCCCAGCATTCCCTCTGGCTTCCATGCTTCCACCTGGACGGGAGATTCAGCAGTGAACGCTACCAACTTTTTACCAAAGGTGCCAATGTAGGTAATTCCAAAATCAGATTGCCATGAAAAATGCCTTCTCCGCAACCAAAGTGTTTTTAAGGTCAGGAACAGGCATTCTTTGCCATGCTGTCTGATGCTCAATGCTCTCTTGTACCTTGAAGTCCTCTAGAAACTGTGAGTTTGTATCTCAGGTGATGTTTGCTGCCCAGGCTTTATGACCTTTTAGTACTTCAGCTAGTGTGAGTCAAGGGTTAGCATCAGATTCACAACCAGTGAAGCAGTTGAAATATGAAGCTGGTAGCTTTTTATTTAGGACAACATAGTCTTCAGACTCACATGCCTACCTATCACATTCAAGTTGACGCATCATCAAATATGCTTAAGACCCTGCATGACAGGCAGGTATGGACTCAGAAGACATCCAGTACCAAGCAGGATTGAAGTCTACAGGGCAAGGCAGAAGCTTGATGGAATATCTCAAAGTTAAAGAATCTACTACTACCCAAGACCTGAGGCAGGCAGGTAGGGTCACCACCAAATTGAGCTGAGAAACCAGGCAGGTTAGTTGGCAGCTTAGTTCCCAGTGAGCAGTTCACTTGGGGACAACTTGATCAGTGGCTGCTAATATGCCCAGTGCTTAAGTCCCCTTCTCTGTTACCCTAGGAAATAAGGTACAGAAGCCAACAGTGTCAAAACAAATTCTTTTTTTTTTTTTAAGACAGAGCCTCAAGCTGTCCCCCTGGGTAGAGTGCCGTGGCATTACAGCTCACAGCAACCTCCAACTCCTGGGCTCAAGCGAGTCTCCTGCCTCCGCCTCCCAAGTAGCTGGGACCACAGGCGCCCGCCACAACGCCCAGCTATTTTTTAGTTGCAGCCGTCATTGTTGTTTTGGCGGGTCTGGGCTGGGGATTCGAACCCGCCACCTTAGGTGTATGTGGCTGGCACCTTAGCCGGTTGAGCTATAGGCGCCGAGCCAAAACAAATTCTTAAACTCTGATGTGACCAAGTGTTAGCAAGGATGTGGAGCAACAGAAACTCTGGTGTGAATGTAAATCGATACAACCTTTTTACAAAACAGTATGTCCTCATCTGATACAGTTTAGAGTGTGATAGGGGGTTTATCACGCCCTACGTGATAGACAAACTAATAACCCTCACCCCCCAACACGTCCACATCCTAATCCTCGGAACCTGTTTATGTGTTACATTACCCAGTACCACCTTGTGCTTTGCAGATGTGGCTAAATTTAGAGTCTCGAGATGAGGGGATTAGCCTAGACTATCCAGGTGGTCCCAGTGTAATCGCAAGGGTCCTTATGAGTAGATTATAAGTAGAAGAGTAGATTATATGTAGTAGATTATAAGTATGACGCTCTGGAGGAGCGTCAGAGTGACGTCATGGGAGAAAGGTCATCCCGACATTGCTCGTCTTGAAGATGGAAGACGACAATGAGCCAACGATGAAGGCAGCCCCCAGGAGCTGGGCGAAGCAGGAGAAGGGACTCTCCATAGAGCCTCCGGAAGAAAGGCAGCCGTGCTGACACCTTGGTTTCATACCAGTGAGACCAATGTTGGACTTTTGAGCGCTAGAACTGTGAGATGATAAACAAATGTGTTACAGCAGCAATAGGAAGCTGTGGTGTGCTGTGACCCAGCTGCTCCACTCTCATGTCCACCTACCAGGAGACAAGTCCAAGAACACCCTGGCAGCCCAAGCTGGAGTGAGCATCCCCAGCAGACCAGCCATATACATTGGAGCATGCTCATACCATGGCTTATCATATGAGAACAATAAGCAGCACTCAACCGGGCAGTCAGGGAAGGGACCTCGAGTTACTGTGGTACAAAGACGTCAGTGACTATTCGTCACAAAAAAGCAAGAATAAAACTGGACACAATTAAAGACAACCATTTGAAGCCCTGAAAATCCACCAGGGGTAGACAAATCAGGAAGAGTTTCCTCTTGAAAAATTATAGTTCATCATGGCTATCCCTGGATAAAACTGTTAAAAAATGAACAGCTCCTGCACCATAGATGAATCTATGCACATAATTTTGAGTTAAGAAAAAAAAGCAAATCGCCAAAGAATACCTGCAGTCTGATCCTATTTACATAAAGTATAAAAAAGAGGCTAAGACCTACTGTTTAAGGGCGTGTATGTTGATGGTAAAATTATTAAGAAAAACAAGGAAGTCATCACCGTAATGTCAGGGTACTGGTTATCTTTGCAGGGTAAGAGAGGGATGTGACCAGGAATGTAGAAGGGGAAAGGACACGTGGAGGCTAGTGACAGGGTTCTACTCCTGATATAAGTGGGGTGCTTCTTCCAAGGTTTTAAAACATATGTATGTTCCATGTACTTTTCTGGATGTTTGTCATATTTTAATTCTTTTAATAGGTAAAGGAACTAGCAAACTCACAAGATAGGATAGTGGGTCACCACCAAAATGAGCATCTCTAAAGCACGGATCTTGCCCCACTAAGGAAGAGGGAACAGACAAGGAAACAAAGCAGAGACCAAAAATGAGATAGATCCATTGGGTAGGGATGGGGGACCAGCCCAGGGCCAGGCTCACCCTGAATAGCCAGCTTTGGGCCCTCCTACTTATTCCAGCTCCCACCAGCTGGTGGCCGCACAGGGCCATGGCCCTTTGTGTAAAGACTGGGTTTCTGCCACTAATAGAGTTCCTCTCCATCCTTTGACTTCTGCATCATTGAAAGAACCCTGAACTGATTTCGGATGGTCCTCTGATGGATGGAAAGAGTCACTAGTGCCGCTGGGTGAGAGGAGCATGCAAGGAGCCTTTCCCTTGGCCAGAGGCTGTTTCCTCCCTAGAGGAGGCTTGGGTCTGATTTGTCTCTTCTGCCAGTCAGCCAGCCTCTCCTCTGGGGTCTCTAACTCAGAGCCCAACTCTGACTGTCTGCTCCCAGAGAGGGGCCCTAGCCAGCACACAGAGGCAATCAGAACTGAACTGAGTTGCTAATAACAGTTTATAAGGCCAGGGCTTTAAAGAGGCTTTGTTTATATAATACGGAGTCACGGTACATTCCTAGGAATCCACAGCCCCTCTCCTGGCTAAGATAGCCCAGTCTCTCTCTGGTCTGCCCGTCTGCCTGGGACTACCTGGGTGGCCAGCTGTTGGCTTTCTTGACAACAGTTTATACACAGTGTCTCTCCTGTCTCCACCCAGCTACCTGGAGGTGGTGCTAGTGGGGAAGAGATGAAGAAGCAACTCAAGTTTCCCAAGGAGCAGGACTTAGTGTATGGGAAGGGTGCCTCCTAGAGTTGTCCAGTGCACAAACTGCACAGCTGTACATAACAGCTCTGCCAACAAGCGAACATGGGAATACAGGAAGGAAACTACCATTTTAGGGGCCCTTAATATGTTCTGGTGTTTTTCATAAAGGTATTGCCCAATTTTACCAGTAAGAAAACTGATTCAGGGAAGTTAAATGGCCACCAGAGTCACACAGCTGTAGTAGAAATGGACTTTAAACCTTGGTGACCATTGCAATGAAATAAAATGGTTACTTTGAAACATTCTCCTACGTGGGACATTTGCTTTACTTCAGGAGCCTCAGAACTCACCACTCTTAAAAATGGAAAAGCAAATCCTCCTGCCTCACCTGTATCTGTCCTGCACCAGGCCCCCAGATTCCTCCTTTATAACAGCACCCACTGCCTCAGCTTCTTCTGGGCCCTTTCTCTTATTAACACTTGACCTGCTTTGGCCTTGTTGTCTCCCAGGCCACCTGCTGTGGCCATGTAATGTCCCCTGGGCACCTTTTCCAGTCCTTAACGTTCTTCCTTTCTTGGTACCCTATGGGTATACCCCTTTTTTTCTGAAATTTTCTGCCTTAGCTCCCAGAACACTGGGCAACCATTCATACCTACATCTATTAATAATTACTTTCCATGGAGGGTCTGTACTTATCAGCTACTGGGCCCAGCATCCTAGCAAAACAAGATGGGCTTTCTGTGCTCAAGGAGCTTCCAGCCCAGTCAGAGGCCAATGTTAATCAAATCACAAAGCCTGAGCAACATGGCAAGACCCCCTTCCTACAAAAATTAGGGTAGTGTCATGGCACACACCTGCAGTCCTAGCTATTTGAGAAGCTGAGGCAGGAGGATCATTTGAGCCCAGGAGTTTGAGGTTGCTGTAAGCTATGATGACACCACTGGGTGCTGGAGCAAGACTCTGTCTTAGGAAAAAAAAAAAAAAGACGAAAGTTTTGTCTGATTTAGAACCGCATTGAGTGCTATGAAAGAAAAGCATGGGGCTTTGAACTTAAAACAAGGACACCCTCGCCCAGGCCAGGAATCAAGAAGTTTTCTCTGAGGAGCTAGTGCTTTGAGCTGAGGTCTGCAGGAGGAGCTGCAGCCAGCTTTTAGGAAGAGCAATCCAGGTGCTGCAACAGCACACGTCGAGGTGGAGCGCAGCCCCCGGGGAGGTAGTGAAGGGAAGGTAGAGTGACCCGTGCATGTGAGGCAGGAGACTGGACAGGTAGGCCAGGTCAGGTTATCGCTTGCAAAACCGTGATTTAGGATTTTGGACCTTAAGTGAAATAGCTTGTATAGCCATACAAGCTGTGAACTGCACAACTCCAGAGGGCACTGTTTATGTTGTGGTCCATGGTTATGGTGCCCTGGAAATGTGAATGATGAGCCCTGGAGTTGTGCAGTGCACATCCTGCATAGCCATACCTGGAGCCCTGATAGTCTGGCTACAGTGGGTAGAATGGATTAGACAGGGCAAGAGGAGCCCGCTGGAGCCTGCTGCAGAGGCCCCAGGGCTTCTATACCTTCCCCTTTATGCTCACTCCCTTGGTGAGCTCACTTTTGCGCCTCTCTGCCCTTCTTGTTTATCCTCTCTGGGGTAAATTTCTTTTTTTTTTTTTTTATTGAATGGTAACTATGTACATTACTGCACTGCTGGGGTACAGTGTGGGGTTTTCACACACAATCTGAAACACTTCCATCGGGTAAATTTCTAATGTTTGACTCAAGTGAAATATAAGAAACAACACCGGCCAGACATAGTGGCTCACACCTGTTGTCCCAGTGCGGTGGGAGGCCGAGGCAGGTGGATCGCCTGAGCTCAGAGGTTCAAGACCAGCATACGACCAGCATGAGCCAGAGTGAGCCAGAGTGAGACCGCATCTCTACCAAAAAAAAAAAAAGCTGGGCATTGTGGCGGGCGCCTGTAATCCCAGCTACTTGGGAGGCAAAGGGCAAGAGAATCACTAAAGGAAGAAAGAAAAAAATAAATAAAAATAAAAAAACAAACTTCAAACTAAGAGAGTGAAAACTGGCTGAAATTGAAAGCAAAAATTAAAAAAAGAAACAACGCCAAGCCGTCAGGGGAGGAATCAGTTCAGAGGACACAGGACTTGACAAAAGGTGATCCAGGGTGGGACAGAGTGCTCAGCCACTGTCAGGGCCCAGGCGGAGGCTCAGCTATGTGATGAACCAGCATGAGAGCAGAACGGGATGCTGTGAGCTCCAGCCTCTCAGTGCTCCCCCCGAGTCCCTGGCCTGTCAGCAAGAGAGCTGTGCACAGACATCAGGCCCAGCCAGGACAGAGCACTGTTGGTCTGCAACCAGGATTAGGCCTAGGAGGGAGCAGCCAGGAGGGGACACTGGAGGAGGAGGAGACTAAGGAGGTTCTCCAGCCCTAGGCCCTCAGCTGGGGGCCTGAGCACACAGGCTATAGCAGCCCCAGCTGCAAGACTCCCAGTGCCAAGACCTGGGAGCTGTGGCCCTGCCTGGTCTTGAGGGGAAACCTGTTGCCAATGACCAGGGCTGGCTAGAGTCCTGTCACCTTTCCCAGTCCCTTCGTTTCCTATGGCATGGGTAATGTGTCCCACCTTTGAATCCCAGAGCATTTGTTACCTTCTCTTAATCACGTACACAGTTATGTTTTTTAAATCATTTTTATCATAAAAATATATATACAAACAGATGCATAGAACAGATGTACAGGTTAGTGAACTATCACCCAGCAAGCACCACCACCCAGGGCAAGAGAAAGAGTGCTGCCTGCCCCTAAGAGCTCCCTCTGGCTCACCCTGTGCCCTTTCTAAATGTGACCCTCTCCCTCCTCCCTAAAGGTGACCACTATCTGGATTTGTATAGTCCTCAGCATTCTGCTTTTTTTTTGTCTTAGCTTTTTTTAGTAACTTTATTATCTAAGCATGCACTCCTGAATGATAGATTTCTTTTTTATTTGCTGTTTCAAAGGATGGCCCTAGAAGACAGTGACCACAAACAAAGAGCAGAGAGGGGTCTTTTTTCTTTTTTGAAATAGAGTCTCACTCTGTCACCTGGGTAGAGTGCCCTGGTATCATAGCTTACAGCAACTCAGACTCTTGGGCTCAAGGGGTGGTCCTCTTGCTTCAGCCTCCTGAGTAGCTGGGACCACAGGCACCTGCCACAATGCCCGGCTAGCTTTTTTTCTATTTTTAGTAGAGACAGGGTCTCACTCTTGCTCAGGCTGGTCTCGAACTCCTGAGCTCAAGCAATCCACCCACTTCCACCTCCCAGAGTGCTGGGATTACAGGCTTGAGCCACCATAACCCAGCCCCAAGAGGGGTCTTGCTTAGGGTGACCAGATTTTAACATTTGTAAAGCGGGACAACATGGCCAGGGGGCGGGGTGGGGGCGGGGCAGGGGACTGGGCAGGGCTGAGCCTGACAACAATGCAAACTTTGATAAGCAGTTCTCGATAATCACTTCTCAACAATTATTTGTTATTATTACAGTTTAACAGTATAAAATTAACAAAAATAATATAAAACTCATATTCTGACAAAATAGCCACATGGCAGCCAAAAACTGTATATTCCCTTCCTGTTATCCCGCCCATTCGTGCATTCTTTACAAAAATTGGGACTTTTTTAAAACGCCGCGAGACACAGGACAAATTGTTAAACAGTGGGACTGTCCTGCCAAAAGTGGGACGTCTGGTCACCCTAGTCTTGCTAGGAGAAGGGGAGCAGGGAGGAGCCAGCACAGGCTTTATGAAACAGCCTGAGAAAACATTCCGCAGGGACTGGAGAGATGCGGGGCTAAACAGAATGTGTCAGTGGGTCACATGAGCCCGGAAGCTGCCAGTTTCCAGCCTGCATCCTACAAAGTCATGCAAGCTCTGTAATTTGGAATTCAAGACCTTCACCCCAGCCCTCACACCCCAACCTCTCCAGCCATACCAGTTTATTTGCAGTTCTCCGAAATAACTGCATTTGCTAAGACACAACAAATCCTGGGATTCTTTGCCCACTTCTTTGCTGGCAGGCTTCTGTTACTTCATGTCATCGTTCAAATATCACCTTCTCCGGGAAGGAAAGGAAGGAAGGAGAGGTTGCATGAAGCCAAGGAACAGAGAGTGGGACTCTCATGACAATACTTTCCAACCCCACCTAAAGCTGTAGCACCTCAAACCCATCTGCCGCGCTTTGGTCTTCATCTGAAGCTATCTGTCCCCTCATGCCATGGGTTTCCTGAATACTCCCAGCCAGGACCCCTTCTCTGCCAGGCAGCCTCCTGTGCTAACTAGGAGCCCTTCCTCATTAAGGGAGAGGCAGCTTGAGTCCTAACTCGTCCTCCCTTCCGCCATGCATGGTTGGCCCTGTAGTGATGGCTGGGACAGCAGAGGAAGGGCCTCAGGGACAAGTGAGACTCTGGAGTGTCAGTGCCAGAGCCCCTCTCACCTGGAGATGCTGAGTCCAGGGTGAAGCCTGTGCGCCTTGGGGTCTGCTTTCCCTAGTGAGCGGTGAGACCCTTGCGCCCCCCCCTCCCCTGTCGCTGCCCTTTGCTCTGAATTCTCCCTGCCCACTCTGCCCATCCTTCACACCCACCTGCCTCTGCTTTCTATGAGTCCATCCAGAGCATGCTGGGCACCCGGGGATGGGTGGTGGACAGAACAGAACAACAGATGCCAACTGCAGGACACATGCCCCATGGAAGCAATTGGTGTTTTTTGTTTTCTATGCAGACATCGTCAACTGTGACCTAAAATCCACACTGCGAGTTCTGTACAACCTCTTCACCAAGTACCGGAACGTGGAGTGAGGAGCCGCCAGGAAGTTCGTGCTGTCAGCACACTGTACCACCCTCCAAACTGCCTTTACCTGCTTACCCCTGTCTCTCGCTCTGTGCTCTCCCACAAGTCCAGCTCTAACCCAGAGATAGTGGGAATTGAAATTAGGAAGGAAATGATCCCCAACTCAGTGAGCTGACCCACGCTTCCCAGACCCTGGGGACTGACCTGACAATGATGGTTGAAAAGGTTGTCCCCATCCTGGTGCCAGGTCCAAATTTCCCACTGTGTTTTGAGAACTAGTTTAGGCAAAAGAGTTACCAGAAGATGAAAATTAAGATCACACTTACTATAGAATAGGTATAAGCTATGTGCCCGGCACCGCAAGACACTCTCTGATATACAAAGCTCATAAAGTCTCACGACTCCCTTGGAAGTAGGTGTTATAATACCCTTTTACTGATGAAGTAGTTAAGACTCAGGGGTTGAGTGACTCGCCAGAAGCTGGCATTTTTTTCCTCTTTGAATGACATATTTATTAAGAACTAGGTAATTACATCATATTCTTTGCACATTCTAAAATTTTGTATGTACACGCACACTAGTGTACATACACATCTGAGTCAAAAAAGACCTGAATCCACTGATGTCAACACTGAGGAAGGCCAGGTCGGGACTCAGTGATTCACTTTGAAATTGACAGATTGAATTTAACCCAGTTAATAGTGTGTGTGTGGCAGAGTCATGCCCCTCAAATCCTTTGTGCAAATCAAAATTACTTTTAATTCCTTCAGATTTGTAATAACCCCATACTCTGGTTTCAGGGTGACATTTGGGAAGGATTCTGTTTAGAATTAATGGAGTGGCACATTTCGCAGCCTTTTTGCTTGATTGCATGTAATGGAAATGCCCTATATTTTCCTGCAAAATAAGTACTAAATTCATTATCGTTAAGCAAATGTACAATATACTCAGGTCCCGCAGAGAGCTGGGCACAAGCCCATGTGAGCATCACTTGGGAAGTAGGGCTCTTCAACAGGGACCCTTGAACTTTAAAGAAAGGAACTCCTTTCTGCCTTCTAATTGATCATTTAGACTATTCTGGCTAAGTCTGCCCACATGCAATTACCAGCTAATTCAGGAGAGGAAAAATGCAAGTCATTTAGACCAAAGCCGAGCAGCTTCCTTGCGTGGGTTACTGAAGGGCTTGTGGTTACTTGTATCTCATCTGTGTGAACCCAACTTTGGACTACAAAATTCTAGTTTGCCAGGCTTCTAGGTGGGAGCAGGGGGATGAAAAGCATGGAGAAAATATTTGCACGCTTACCATACAGAGAAATATCCTCCGAGACAGAAGTGGGGCTGGTGGTATGTAACATACGTACCTTTCAACTGACCAAGGTTTGGGGGTAAATGACAACTTGTGCTGATACTAAGTCTTCAATATAGGACTTCCATAACTATGCCAGAGAGACACCAGCCTGCGGCCTGTGTATCCCTGTCCACAAGTTTGTGACTACCGTGTCACTACTTTAAGCCCGTTGCACAAAGCGCATCTCGAGTTTTGGAATTCATTTTGATCTGTATCTACACACCCAAAGTCAGGCCTCCCATAGTATCCAAAACATTCCTTTCAGCCTTCTCTTCATTTCTTACTGGACTATCTATCCGGGGTAACCCAAAACCCGTAGAATTTAGAGCCACTACATATTTCTCTGGATAATTTGCTCTTAGAATTGTTCGCATAATGAGCATTTGAGATACAAAGGCAAATTGTAAAAGAATACAATTTCTTTTTACGTAATTTGTGAAATATTATATTTTTTTCTTAGGAAATGCTTAAATAATACAATATTTCTGTTGCTGTCTTTTAAATTCCTGGTAGCAACTCAAGATAAACAATTGCTTTGTCTCCTCGAGCAGTACTGCAGCAGGATGAAGTAAGGGGAACGCGTTCATTTAAACATGCTTTGCTATACAAATTTTGTCTCTCTTTTGTCTGTTCTTACATACAAGCTACATACGTGCAAACATCCTTACTAGGAGCGTCCCTCTTTCCATTTCACGTATGCATTGTGTGAAAGCACATCAGAACACTAGCAAAGTTTTTAAATAGCAGGACTAATTATCGGACAATTTATAACCATCGTCTCATTTACGTGTCTGCCTTTAGATTCTGGAATCTCCTACTTCACACACAAGCATGGTTTTGTAGGGGGAAAGAAGCATCAGAACAATAAATAAACTTTACTCTCATTTCTTTAAAAAAAAAAAACTGAGATGAGAATCAAGTCTCTAGGCTCATTGGGGTTCCCCGCCTTTTTCTCCTCCATTCTGAATTTAAATTCATTGATTTTTTTAATAATTAATATGTACATGGTACAAAATTCAAAAAGCATGAATGGGTATCTAGTGAAAAACCTAGGTCTCCCTTCTCCAGCAGCCATCACCCCTCCCTGGAGGCAACTGTTTCGATCCATTTCTTGTGCACACTTCCAGAGCTGCTCAAAGCATGGAAAGAACATACCTTTAAAATCTTAGGGTTTTTAAAAATATACATAGCATATTATGTATACGTACTGTTATATCTTAGAGATTGTCTTATACTATTAAAAGAAATCCTTTCACATTTTAAAATGAGGATCTGAGCACTTTGTAAATCCAAATGCAAATAAATGTATCTGCCTGAGCCACGAAGGGGAAGCCCCACTCAAAGGACCAACAGCTCCCTGGGCAGTGATTTCAAGAGCAGAGTTTAAGGGGCAGTGCCTGTGGCTCAAAGGAGTAGGGCGCTGGCCCCATATGCCGGAGGTGGTGGGTTCAAACCCAGCCCTGACCAAAAACTGCAAAAAAAAAGAGCAAAGTTTAAGACATGGAGTGAAGGCAGGAACTGGAGCACGTTACCACGGCTGTGCCTTAACTGATTTTCTTTTTTAAAGGTCTTTTGGAACATTTTGATTAATTGTGTGCAGTTTGATTAAGCCTTCGTTTTTTACACATTACTAGGGCTACTAATTTGTAATCTAGGAAGAAAGCATTAGAAAGCACCCTACAATAATTGTACCATGAAGTCTAACAGCCACCAACATCACGCTCCCCTGTTGTATTCAAAGGCCCTGATTTCACACGTGCAGGGACAGAGCTGACATTTCCAAAGTCTGGGAGAAGGTTTCTGTACCCGCACCTCATCAATGTTGCCTTGATTTGGGTTGTGATTTTCAATGGCTGCTCTTGGTACTTTTTAATTATGAATTCTGTTAGCGTGGCTTTATCATTATCAGTTGATTTTGTTGTGGGTTGCTTGGTTAACCCTACGGAGTACACTGAATCTTATTTGCATCAACAGTATTCCGGGGCTGTAATTTTCCAATAACTACACTCTGAGATATGTATACATTGTGGTTCAAATATGAATCATCTATATTCCAGAGCTTCAGCAAGTGTATACATAATCCACTGCCCCCAAATTATCACTAATTTATTTTTCCACTGGAAAATAAGACTAGATGGAGTTAAGCAATTTTACTCTCAGTGGGGGATGATCAAAAATAATTTGAGATCCACTGCCTTGAATGCAGCCCTACCTCAAGATATGCTAGATACCCAAGCAGGGTATGTCCCAAAATCTTCTCTAATTCCAATATTGTGTATAATTCCCCCCTTCAAAAACTTTGCTTAAATTGGAAAACTGAAGAGCATTTCTGTAGATATTGAGAGCAAGAGGACTGCACTGAGACACAAGGCTGGTGACAGATGTCACCACCTAAGACACTTAAGCTGCACACAACAGCTTCCCAAAATGTTTGCAGAGTCAGGTCTCAGCAAAAGACAAGCTAATATGAGTTGCTCACAGTCATAACTGCAGAGTTTACAACTACAAATACCAAGTTTTCCCCTGAAAAGTGTAAGACAAGCCTGGCTCCACAATCTGCTCATGCCCCCTGCTTTACGACAGCGGTGGCTGTGTGCATCTGTGTGCATAGGTGTTCATGTTCACGGCAACAGCACCATGACCCTGAGGGTGCTCAGGGTGGGACGAGCAGCCCCCAAACCAAGCGTGACAATCCTGCAGATTTCAGCCTGACCAGTTGGAAAGCTACCAGTGAAATATCCCTTAAAGTACAATCTGTAGGATCCTGATAGATGCAAGGTTTAAAAAAAAAAAAAAGTCACATCCAAATAGGTTGGGGAAACATGAGGCTAAGCAGGTTGTTTTTTGTTTTCTAATTGAAGCCACCTTGATGTCTCCTACACTAATGAATATGAGGACTCTCTAAGGGAAGGCAAGAAGCAGTGGGTCCCAACCTTGTTTGATCACAAAAACTACTTGGCCCCTGAGAAGTTCACAATAGAGCTTGTCCATTGATTTAGCCATACATTCAGCAAGCAAGTGTTGAGTGCAGCGTGTCAAGTGGTGAGTGAGAGTTCCCGGGCTAGTGGAGAGACACACACAAAATAATCACAAATCAATGTTAATTATAAATTGTGATGGCCACTGTGGAGGAGAAGTACTAAAAACTCTCAAAGAGGTTAAGAGAGGTCTCTAGCAAAGTGAGGTCTTAAAATAATGCCTGGGTCATGGGGCTACTCAAGTGAAGAGCCTGCCACCCAAGGGCATAGCTTGGATGAGGATTCCCCGACCACAGAAGATGGGCCGGATGGTGAGAGTGCAGAGAATGAGGGGAAGAGGAGGCATCAGAGCACAGGTGTCAATTGAATGCAGAATTTCTTCATGAGTAATAGAGTAAGAATTTATATTTGAATCTTTCCTAATGGAGGGAAGCTATTTCAGCCATATAGAGGCCTGGGACTGCCCTTCCCATCTAAATGGTCATGGCTGAGAAGCAGAGACCAGGAGAGGAGGGCAAGCTTCCACCCTACTCCCAATATGGTCTCACCAGCTGCTGGGCACTGGGTAATTCTACCTCCCCTGCAGCTGCTTAGAGGGCAGGAACTCTTAGATTCATCCCACTCTCTCCACTTTTGTCCTCTGAGAAGAACTAAGGGAACCAGACAGATTGGATGAGGCTGCACGCGTGAAGGAAAGGAAAGAAGAGGCCTGGCCAGAAAACTGGCCCCTGGGGACTAGTGTGCGTCCAGCTTCCTCCCCAAGGAGGAAGACTCCTGTTGTATCCTATGCTAATGCCATGGGGGACAGGTGGGGAAGGGGGTGTTGTCATTTAGCCTGCAGGAAGGACAAGGTATAAACCTCCTGGTGTGAAATAATAATTCACATTCAAAGTGAATTATTACTGTTTTCCGAAGTCATACTAATCAGCATAAATCATCATTGCTACGATGCTTACCACACGATATAAAGCCTGCCCAAAGGGAATGACGCTTCACAGTGTCTTGTGAAACATCTTTCCTAGGAAGCTGTGTTATTTTCACTGGGAGTTTTGAAATTCCAGAAATGTCCTTGGAAATCCCCACTTGAAAGCTCCTTGCTTAGAAACCATCAAGTCGGTGACGGGCTCAGTATTACTCTTCTCCGTGGCCCCCATGGGTGGCTGTATGTATTCTTGCCTCAACTCTCTGAAACTTCGCACGTCCATGGGCACTGGCTCTGATGCTGGCATTTTAAAGGGCACTTAGGAAATTTGGAGACGCCCCAATGATTAAGATAAATGATGTTTTATCAATGAAGCAGACTTTTCATTTCTTTTTATCGATTTTCATGTTTTCACATCTTCAGATGCAATTTGTTAGCCCAGGGCAGCATTCCAAGACACACAAACATCATTAAGGCCGCTGCTTTAAAGAGTGTGATGTTTTATTGAAGTGGACAGAACAATAGATAAATATTTAATCCGTTACACATTTGCTCTGTGTGGGAGCCAGGGCTGGGGCTGCCCGCCTCTCTGGCTGCTGTATGTCTTCCTGGAAACCCTGACAATGGCCTCACCGCCCACCTGTAGAGAACACAGTGCCTGCCCTTGGCAAATATTTGCTGGTGTTTCTGAAAAGCAGCTCCTGGAAGCCTTTTCTCATTCAGGCTTCGGAGGTTACCACATCTTTCCTTATTTATTATGACATTGGAGAATGTAAATTCTCACTGAACTGGGGCCATTTGGCTTAAAATAAAGTACAATGAGGTGGTGAGCAGTGGGTGTGCACTCAGCAAGGCCAGCAGAGGCCATGGACTCATTTCTTCCCTATGCTGAACTCTCTGGTGGGTGTAGTGCTCCTGGCAGGAGGTGGGGGTTGCATCCTCTGAGCCTCTCCTGACCTGTACTTTCTGCATCATTGGTTCTCCTAGCCCAGTCCCATAACATCCTACTACCCCACACTGGAACTATGTGTTGTCCAATTCTGGACTCCCACGCCTGGGAAAGACCAAGCTCACCACCACCAACTCTAATCAGGGCTTTTGCTAGATTGTTTCTGTTCATAAAATTTGTCCATCCATGAGTCTTCCTGTATGGATTAAATGGTTGTCTGACCTGCAGACCTTTGGTGTGATGGGTCTGAAAGACACAGAGCTTTCTCTCCTGTTCTTTCCATGATCCCAGTCCCCATAGGTGGTGTCCTCATCCATGGGGCCATGGGCCTGCCCTGGCATTGATCATGTGGGACTCCAAAAACCAAGGGAAGAAAAGAATTCTGGCCACCTCCCTGGGCTGGGCCCCACCTTCATGTGATCAGAATCCAGTCAGGTCAGGGAATATTCCTGGAGTGCCTGCTCTGTGTTTAGCCCCATTCTATGCACAACATGGGATCAGAAAGTCCAAGGTCTCTTCCCTTGATGAGGAAGACAGATGCAGCTCATTTAAAATAATTCAGTGACATGATATGGGACCAGATACCAGTGAAGGTTCTTCATTAGATTCTCTCAGAAAATACTCCATCCCAGCTGCCGTGTGATCTTTGGGAACATCTCCCCCACTCCCTCCCTCCCTCCAGAATCAGCAATTTCATTTTCCATACAGATTTGCTGCTACAAAAATCACACGACTCACTCCTAAAGCCAATTGGAGATTTA